GTCAGAGGCAATGAGATTGGCACAGGATAGAGCAGGGTTTAGGGCTGTTGTACATAGGGTCGCTATGAGTCACAAATGACTCGACGGCACATAACAAGAACAACAACAATAATTTTTACAGTGTTAAGTTTAAAAAAAAATACAGGTGACTCCAAGTATGTCAGGGTAGAATTGGGTTCCATGGGAGTTCATGTGGTGGATGCTTTAGAAGTGAATCACCACAACTTTTTCCTGAGTCACCTCTACATGGACACAGATTTTCTGTGTTTTTTAAGCAGTCAATAAAATTAACCAGTTGCATCACCCAGAAACTCCATGGGATAGATAATACTTACAGGTCAAAGGAATGTGCTTGGAGTTCAGCAACTGGATTTCAATCCTTGTTGGTTTTATGGTTTGGGATGCACCTTAAACTTCTACTATTTAATTTAGGATAAAATGATAAGAATGTCATGAGTTTCTTTGTTGTCAACTTATATAATGGATTCATTGAATTCAGCATAAGGTCAAGTATATATGTCAACAGTTATTAAAATTAAGTACCGATTATTCTCAATTTTGAAATTAAAGTGTTCTACTCATGACCACATAAGTCACTTAGATAAGACTCACTCAGATCAGCCTGATTCTAAAGACATAGTTTTTACCAATATTTTTGGTCTCTAAAGATTTGGTGACCTAGTGGCAAGAAGCTGCGCTGCAATCCCAAAGTCATGAGGTTTGAGGCTACCAGCTGCTCCTCCAGAGAAGGATGAGCAATCTCCTCCCATGTGATTTACCTCTGAAAACCCTCCAGAGGGTCAGCTATGGGTTGGTGCTGACTCTATGGGACACTACAACAACAAATGTTATCCTAAGTATAAAACTACTAGATAAATTTGAAGGATATTTACTATACCAATCAATGTGTTTCAAGTTTCTCCTTGGGTTGGGTGTTTCTTTAATCCAATTTCTTTGCTTCCATCTCCATCCCAGACCAGCACACTAAGCCTTTTCCATTACACTGTGGAGCAGCCTCAGCCCTCGTTGTGAGCTGTTGTGAGGTCACATTAGTGCATATGTCTAGCTACCTCTCCATTCAAAAAAATAAGGAAATGCAAACCAGATCCATGGCCCTGAAATTGATTTCAACCCTTGGCAATCCCATGGGTTACATGGAAGAAGTGTTCCCCAGGGTTTTCTTAGCTATTATTTCTATGGAAGTGAATTCTCATGCCTCTTTTCTGCAGTATTACTGAGGGTGTTTTAATGCCATTTCAGCAAACAGCAGAGCACAAAGTATCTGTGCCACTTAAGATGATCTCTTCCTGCTTGGAGGAGCCATTCTACTATATTGAAACCTGGGACCTAGTCCAGCTGGGTGAATTTAGACCACATATGGTTATGAAAGTAGATTTATCCAGTTCACTGTGCATCCTCTGGCCTCTTCCTCTCGCTGATCTAAGGATTGAAAGACAGTCTCATTGTGTCTGCCTTTTCTATGTATTTGCTTTAAATTGGTTTGCTGAATTACTCTCTTAGGATGGCAGAGAAGCCTCGTGGTTCTGACAACCCTCAAGGAGGCCTGGAGAAGTGCAGGAGGCAGATCCTGAGGTCTACCAAGAGGGCATGGACACCCCTGGATGAGCAACTACCTCCTGATTCAGAAGAGGACAGCCAGGCTTGTGCCCACCCCACACTGGGTGAGAGGGGCCCCAGGGCTATTTGAAGGGCTGGTGAGCTGAGTGGAGGCTTTTGTTGGAGGCAGATGATTTGAGGACAGAGACTTGGTTTTGATGGGATTAGTGCTCCTGGCATTATGCCAGAAACTTTCTTTCCAACACTCCAATCTCCCTCATTATAGAGCCATCCCACCCCTGAATCCATTTGAGAGTCCTGTCAGAGGTATGGGGCGACTTCTACAGCATTGAAAATAAATTGGGAAGCCTCTTGTTTACTGGATCTTACATGAAACTTTGATATTGTTTTGTTGACTTTATAAAATAGTAAGAAAATATTTCTCCCCCCATCAACCCACTCAATAACTGCTTGATGGTTTTGCCTCCTTGCTGGTCCTTGAATTCATTTTAGTCTTTCTCGGTGCTTCCACTGGAAAATTAAGAAACACCATATCCACAGAAGTCCATAGATGGTATATACAGTTACTGTTGTGCTACTAACTAAAAGCTTGGCAGTTTAAGAAAGGCCTGATGATCCACTTCCATGAAAGCTTCTGGAGTGCAGTTCTATGCCACATACAAGGTGAATCAGAGATGACTCAGCAACCACAGATACAGCCTATGTCACTGCCTTTTCAGATCTGCTGACACCTTGTTATTCTTAGGTACTGTTGAGTCTAAGATGACTCATAGCAAACCTCTGAACAACAGATCTGAACCCCATCCTATCCTGTGCCATCTTTAGACTTCTGACACACTAGCACGTACTGTGGCAGTCACCATGTCAATCTGCCTGGTTAAAGGTCTTCCTCTCCTTTGCCATCCATCTACCTTTCTAATCTTGATGCCTTTCTCCAAAGAATGAGCCTCTCCTAACAACATCCCCAAAGTATGTGAGATGAAGCTTTGTTATCTTTGCCTTAAAGGAGCACTCTAACTGCACCTTTCCACATTTCTGTTTATTCTTTTGGCAGTCCATATTCAATATTCTTCTTCAACACGAGTTCAAAGACATCAATTCTTCTTCTGTCATCCTTATAATTGTCCAGCTCTCAGATGTTTAATAAGTTTGAAAAGGACATAGCCTGAATCAGATGCACCTTAGTCTTCAAACTAACATCATCACTCCTCAATAATTTGGAGAAGTCTCTTACTGCAGACTTTCCCAGTGTAATATGTCTCCTGATCTCTTGACTGCTGGTACCAAATGTATTGTTTGTAGGTCCAAGGAAGATGAGGTTTTGGCAGTTTTAATCTTTTCTCCATCTATCCTTACATTGCCTGTCGGCCCAGTGATGAGGATTTTTGTTTCTTTGATGTTGAGATGCAATCCATATTGAAGGCTGCAGCAAGTTCTTCAAATCCTCCTCACTTTCAGCAAGCAAGGTTGCTGACACCTTGGGAAGTGGTAATTTAACTTTTTTACTATTTGGTATTATTAAGTCAAAGGAAACTAGTCCAGAGCACCCTGGAGCCAAACAGGATAGAAACAAAGATTTACTGGGAAATCAACCTTCATCTCCTCCCTTTTTGCTGGTTGACTATTAGTTGAACCAGTGGTAAAGATCTCCCTTAAAAGACCCATGTCTTGTAAACACAGGCTGCCTTTGGCAACCTGGGACCCTAGTGCAATTTGTCCCTGGAATGAATGCAAATTTGGTTTCTAACCTGGCAGAGAATTCCTTGCAAATAAACATTGCTGGCTGCTTGCCTTAGGTAAATGTCGTGATTCAATAAGAAGAGGCTCTGTGGTGATTTATACCCAACAAGAAAAAAGACAAAAGTCTCACAGGCCTTTTCACCTTTCACATTCATGTGTGGTAATTTAAAAATTACTCGAGCATTTCTTGCTCTTCAGTGATGTATGTGTCTTCCCCTTCAATGTGGTGTGTGCTTTTTAAAGTTACAGTCTTTTGGCAAGTTTACATTTCATTCTTAGGAGAGGCTGATTATGGAAAACAGGAGGTTTTGCCTTGAGGGGGAAAACGAATATACTTATAGAAACATGAGACTAAATATGCAGGAAACAGAACTGCTGAATGGAATGATGGGGTAGTGTGATTTCGACTATGCATTCATTGGCTGACTCGTCTGTTTCTTTCTCATTTGTAGAAGATTCCAAACAAGAAAGTATACAGCAATGGCTGGACTCAGGATTCTTGTAAGTATCTCATTGTGCCCTTACTATCACGTCATCCGGTGGTTTACATCTGAAATTCTCCTGCTTCCTACCCAGGCTCACCCTACTGGGAAGTCCCTGGAAGAAGTGGTCACTCTGTGTCCTCACCCCAGTGTCCACTCAGGTTGTTCTGTCACAAAGGTGTATGACAATCACATGAGGTGCTCTGCCATGGAAGTGGAAGACATGCAGAGGATTTTTTTCTTATTAAATTGTCTGCTTGAGTGATGATCCTAACTAAGGCTAAAGCTGTACAATTAGTATCAAAGCACACAACTGAATGCTACTTTGGTGGTTTAGTTTTAAGAAGCTGTGCTCCAATCCCAAAGGCATGCAATTCAAATCTACCAGCTGTTCCAAGGGAGAAGGATGGGCAATTTCCTCCCATGTGATTTACAGTCTCTGAAAACCCAGTGGAGGGTCAGCTATGGGTCAGTTCCAACTTGACAGCACACAATACCACCACAACAATCATTCACTGGTTTCCAAAAGCCCTTTCTTAGTGAAGACTAACTGCATTTGCTTCTGTTTAATTAGATAGTAATTAGCTATCATCTATGGCATGCAATTGTTTGACTCAAGGTAATTTTGTTTCTTTGCAGCATCTCCACAAATGAAAACTTGAATCCCAACGTTGGCCACACTGGTAAGACCACAGGAGGAGAAGCAGTACGATTTTCACTCCTATACTGAGGATATATTTTTTTAAAGTCTGTATGAATGTTTGTTTGTTTGTTTTTAATTTTATACTTGTTTATTCACAAAATTCTAATACATTGCTTTCAAGAAAAAATTCTTTCCATTTCCCTCATCCCTCCACCCAACAAATTATACAACCCCATGATTAATAGCCCCTCCTCCTGCACATCCTCATCCCTCTGCTTCCAACTCTGCCACCCTTCCTGGATCCTTATACTCATTCTACAATAATGGTTGTATACATTATTTATCCTTGTGGGACTGAGTTCACTCAGCATAATGCTCTCCAGTCCCTCCCAAGTTAGATAATAATTTACAAAATCATTGCTCCTGAGTGCTGCATAGTATTCCATTGTGTGAATGTATCATAATTTCTCAATCCACTCGTTTGTGGTTGGACATTTGGGCTGTTTCCATGTTTTTGTGAAAGTGAATAATGTTGCTATGAACATTGGTGTACAAATGTCTGTTTGTGCCTCAGTTCTCATTTTCTCAGGGTATGTTCTAAGTTGCTAGAGAGTGTGACTTTAAAATCTAAAATGAGGCAATGAGTCTGTGGGCCAGCCTGGGGCCTGGGACCTTCGAGTCTCTCTCCACTCTAGGAATTGGCTGCTAGCTAGCGTTTCGATAGTGGTCTCGTCTTGATGGTGGTCACATAAGGGAAGTTTTTGGGGTGTGTTTGATGTTTGTTACTGCTCTTCCCCCCACCTTCAAAGCAGGTGGCCCTTGAGACTTTCACCAAGGGTGGAGGCCTGCTAAAAGGTATGGCTTTAAAATCCATAATGAGGCGATGGGTCTGTGGGCCAGCCTAGTTATCTTTGTCTATTTGCTTTACTGAACAACTTGTTGTGATGCTGAACACTGTTCCATTGTTGTTGTTGTTAAGTATCATCAAGTAGCAGGCAACTCATAGCAACCATATGAAGGAGAGTCCTCGATGCTTGGGTGCCTTTCATCCTCTCTCTAGGTTCATAGGATTTCCGGAGGCAAGCTATTATGGAATTGAGTGCCACTCCTCCTTCCAAGCTTGTTTTAATCAGGGAGCTCCACCCCACTCTCTGTCCACATTGGGTAGGCAACCATTAACACATTTGACACATCAGTGTCACAGTGTTCAGCCGCACAGCAACCACAAGTGACCGTGGTACGGCAACTTGTACACCAGGGCTATATGACCTAGAGGAATGTCTGAACAAAAACAATGAAAGACATGTCCGAGGGCCACGGATTAAAAGTCACCCACCTTTGGCTTGGTAGCATCACTTTCTGTCCACTGGACCAGCTGATCTCTCTCTGTATGTTGATATTATTGTTGTTAAGTGCCATCGAGTCGCAGGCGACTCATAGCGACCCTATGAAGGAGAGTCCTCGATGCTTGGGTGCCTTTCATCCTCTCTCCAGGTTCATAGGGTTTCCATAGTCATGTCAAATACCATAATGGTTACCCATTATGTACAATGTTTGGATGAGCTTCCAGATTGATTCATGCTGGAAGCAGGAGTGGCATCCACTGCCTAAACTAGATGCCTCTGGAAACTCTACAAACTTTCTAAATTCTATAAATGTACAGAAATTATGTTAGTTATTGAACAGAGTTCAAGTCTTTTGTGCAGAACTTATTCTGAGTCGTATTCGATTAGACAACACTTAACCACTGCTAAATGAGACTTAGTGCTATTATATCTCGAGGAAAACTACCACTTTGCATATCACTCTGTCAACGTGCTGTATGAAGTAACTTGGGTTTGCTGTGATGCTGAACCTTGTGCCATTCAAGTATCAAATACCATAATGGTTTCCCATTGTGAACAGTGTTTGGTAGAGCTCCCAGTTGCAAAACAGGTTTGGAAGCAAGAGTGGCATCCTCTTTCTAAACTACATGCCTCTGGAAACTCTGTAACTTGGAGAAACGATGATAGTTATGGAAAGGCAGTAGATCTTTTTTTCATGGAGTCACTATGAGTCGTGCTCGACTTGATGACAATCAACAACAACAACAATATTTCAAGTAATGGAATAGCTGGGTCATATGGAATTTCTATGTTCAGCTTTTTGAGGAAGTACCAAACTGCCTTCCAGAATGGTTGTGCCATTTTACAATCCCACCAACAAAGTATAAGAGTTCCTTTCTTGCCACATCCTCTCCAACATTTGTTACTTGCTTCCCTATTAAACTTTGCCACAATTACTGGAGTTAGATGGTACCTTAGTGTGGTTTTAATTTGCATCTCTCTTATTGCCAGTGATTTAGAGCATGTCTTCATGAATCTGTTTGCCACTCAAATATCTTTTTTCTGTGAAAATTCTTTCCATGTCTTTTGCCCATTTTGTAATTAGGTTATCAGTCTTTTTCTTGTGGAAGAATATTCTGTAAACTTTTGCTATGAGACTCTTGAATGAGATGGTATTACCAAATGTTTGTTCCCAGTCTGTAGGTTTTTCTTTTCTCCCTGTTGGAAAAAGTTTTTGATGCACACATCGAGTTAATCTTTAGAAGGTCCCATGTATCAATTTTATCCTCTTCAGATTATGCATTTCTGGTCGTATTTGTCAGTCTTTTTATACCTCAGACCAGTGCTTCTAAGTTTGATCCCAGTTTGTCTCTTGTTAATGTTATGGTTTGCGCTTTAATCCCAAGTCTCTGATCCAACTTGAGGTGACTTTTGTATATGGTGTGAGACATGGATCCTGTTTCAGCCTTCTGAAGGTGAAACTCCAGTTTTGCGAGCACCATTTGTTGAAGAGATTATCATTTCTCCATTTGATAGGTTTGATTTTCTTGTCTAATATCAGTTGAACGTAGATAGATGGGTCCTCAATTATGTTCCATTGTTCTATGTGTCTGTCATTGTATCAGTACCATGGTGTTTTGGTTACTACTGCTGTATAGTAGGTTTTGAGGTTAGGGAGCGATATGTCTCCAACCTCATTTTTGTTTCTCAGAAGTATTTTGTTTTTTCAGGGTCTCTTGCCTCCCCAAATAAATTTGATAATTTCCCTTTCAATATCAGGGTTTCTTGCCTCCCCAAATAAATTTGATAATTTCCCTTTCAATATCCTTGAAAAATTAATTTGATATCTGGATTAGGATTGCATTGAACATGTAGATTGCTTTTGGTAGTGTTGTCATTTTCACAATATTGAGTCTTCCTATCCATGAACAGGGTACATTTTTCCATTTCTTTAGGTCTCTTATTGTGTCTTGCAGAAGTTAGGTCTTTTATTGTGTCTTGCAGAAATGCTCTGTAGTTTTCTTTGTATAGGTCTTTTGTATCTCTAGTTAAGTTCACTACCAAGTATCTCAGTTTGTGTTTGGCTATTGTAAATGATATTGCCTCCTTGATTTCCTTCTCTGAGTTCTCTTTTTTACTGTAGCGGAATCCTATTGATTTTTGGATATTGATCTTAAATCCTGCCACTCTACTACACTGGTCTATTAACTCTGACAGGTATTTTTGTTGAATCTTTGAGGTTGTCTGTGTACATTATCATATCATCTACATATAGTGACAGGTTAACCATCTCTTTGCCAATCTAGATACATTTTATTTTTTCCTCTTATCGTGTTGCCCTAGCAACCACTTCCAATACAATTTGAAAAGAAATGGTAACAGTGGGCATCCTTGTCTGGTCCCTGTTTGCAAGGAAAATTATTTTAGTCTTTCTCCATTGAAAATGATGTTTGCTCTTGGTTTAGAATATATACTTTTCACTATGTTTGAGGAGATTCCCTTCTATTCCAGTTTTGCTGATTGTCTTTATCAGGAAGGAGTGTTGGATTTTGTCAAATGCCTTTTCTGCATCAATTGCTCAGATCGTATGGTTCTTTTTATTGACTTTGTTAATATAGTGAATTATGTTGATTGTTTCTCTTATACTGAACCATCCTTACATACCTGTTATGAATCCTTCTTGGTCATGGTGAATTATTTTTTATGTGCTTTTGGATTCTATTGGCTAGGATTTTTTAAGGATTATTGCCTCTATACTCCTGAGAGATATTGGTCTGTAGTTTTCTTTCTTGGTATTATCTTTGCATGGTTTTGGTATTAGGGTTATGCTTGCTTCATAGAATGGCTCTGGAGATGTTCCTTCTTTTCAAATTTTTGGAAATAATTTTAGTAGAATGGGTGCTAAATCTTCTCTGAATGTTTGGTAGAATTTAGCTGTGAATCCATCTGGACTTTTCTTATGGGAAAGTCTTTTTATGACCTTCTCAATTTTTTCTCTTGTGATGGTTCTGTTCAAGTGTTCTATATTTGATCTTGTCAGTCTGGGTAGGGGATGCTTTTGAAGGAATTTTTCCATTTCCTCTAGGTTTACAAAGTTACCAGAGTATGTTGTTGTTGTTAAGTGCTGTCGAGTCATAGACAACTCATAGCGACCCTATGAATGAAAGTCCTCAACACTTGTGCGTGTGACTTTCATCTTTTCTCCAGGTTCAAGTTCATAGGGTTTTCAGAGGCAAGCTATTTATGGAAGTGGATGCCACTCCTGCTTCCAAGCTTGTTTCACTCGGGGAGTGCCGCCAAACACTGTACACCATGAGTAACTTATTGCATTTGACACATCAGTGTCACAGTGTTCAGCTTCACAGCAGCACAAGTTACCTCTGTACAGCAAGTGGACACACTAGGGCTATACAACCTATAAGATTGTTTGAATAAAATAAATGAAAAACAAGCCTTAGGGCTGAGGATTAGAGTCACTCACCTTTGGCTTTGTAGCATCATTTTTGGTCCACTGGGCCAACTGGTTCCTTTCTGTGTTGTTAAATGCTGTCAACAGCTTTTCATAATATTCTGATATTATTGATTTAATTTCCTCTGGCTCTGTTGTGATGTCACCTCTGTCATTTCTTAATCAAGTTATCTGTGTCTTCCCTTTTTATTCTTTTGTTAACTTTGCCAGTGTTTTGTCAATTTTATTGACTCTTGAAAAACCAGC